ACATTTTAGCCGCGTTACAACGGATCACAATTTTAGAATTAATTACTTTCCGTTGAAGGTCTTGACTGCATGGMGCTGATCTCAAACTAACAACTAAAGCTTCTTCTGAACGATGACCGAATGACCAACAATGCATTTCGGTCTTGGAACGCTCTATTGTCAGTATTCAATTAACTTACGTGATTTTTCGTTTCAGGTCGTGCTTGCCTTCCTAATGCAGTAGCTTATAGCGTTTCTAAGTTTGCAGCTGAAGCGTTTTCGGATGCGCTACGACGAGAAATAGCTGATTTTGGTGTCAAAGTAAGCATCGTGGAACCAGGTTTTTTTCAAACTCCAATGGTTACCAAAGCAAACCTCAGCAATGCGTGGCGTGACGTATGGAACAAGCTTGATAAAGAAAAACAGGAAGAATACGGTGAAGAATTCTACRAAATTCGTGAGTATTACATKGRCATATTTAGCCTTCTCCGCAGACATCTCGCTTTTCCAGCTTTTYCATRCTTCGGGTTCCCTGTGGAAGAAAATAGGGAAGAGAGGGGACTGGGGGAGTGAAAAGAAAAAGTTACTAGACCCGCTCCCTTACTGATTAAGACAGGAAGCCCGCTATTTACATGTATGTSTATTAATGCGCAGTGTCCATATAGTCGTTCCATTTGCAAGAAAACACGTTTTTGCATTGTTYAAGTTTGCCTCAAGAGAATTTACAACAATGCGAAGCGTTTTCTGGAACGATAACAATACGTCTGACATTTTCGGGTCATCGATCTTTCAGTGTACCTCATCAGCACTGACATTCTATAATTCAAGCTAGCGAATTAAACATGTCTATTGCGGGCTAAACTCTTTTAGGTCCATCAACCTCGGTCGGTCATAGTCCTCCAGGTATTAACATCACTGAATGATTTGTGTTTAGAAGTCGAAAACATGTTGGTGGGTATGGTTGACACGTGCTGTTCGCCAAGCACCTACAAAGTGATTGACGCGATCGAACATGCCGTGACGTCAACACGACCTAATTCTCGTTACGTGATTGGCTGGGATGCAAACCTATTGTGGATATGGTTGTCAAGGTTACCAGCCAGTGTTGGTGATTTCATTGTGCAGATGTTGGCGAACAAGCGAGGTGTTCCACGAAGTTTACAAAAGTAGAACTCCTTGTAAAATGTCATGAGATTCCAATTTTAGTTATTTCTTATATTTCGAAGCATGGTGTAGTAGTAATAGCTTGTTTATTGTCTACTTCATGGTTGACTTGCGTCTCTAGCCAACCTCAGTAGGTTCTCTCAATTGGCTCCACTATTGGAAAGTCTTTCTGCGTCACGGGATATCTATCTTATAGCCTAGTATTCTGTCTCGCCGTGCAGAAGCCCTGCAGTAGTTACCCAAGATGGTCAATTAATTGATTATTCAAAATATGTTTATTTAAAAACCTCCAATAAGTTTTATATGGTAAAAATAATTTTCTATATTTTGCTGTGTCACTCATCGCCCGCCGAAAGCTATCTCCTCCTTCTCATGGCCAMTGATATTATTAGTGTTTTATTCAACTTAGCAGAAAATTATCCGAATTAGATTGTTCCTATTTCTATCATTGAAAATAAATTTTGTTTATTTGGACAACTATTTACAACGGCTTCCCATATTGATTCCTTTGGTTGCTTAATCGTTTACAAATTCATTAAAAGTTACAAATTCATTAAACAACTTTTTATTAAATGTGTTTTTATTTTTAGTTTTTTGTTTGCTTATTTTTCCATCATGCTAGCATGACAAGCTACTAATCTAACTATTAACATTCAAGTTAATAACGAATTCAAAGGCATATACAGAAGCCTTTGACAACAATCAAAGAGCTTGAGATTATTGAACTACAAAGAAATTGTATAATGGAATGAAAAAAAGTTGATATTTTATCAATTAACACTGAACATCTTCAGCAAAGTCACCCGGCAGGTTCCCTGGGGGAAAGAACCTCGCTTCGACGGCATTCCCAGCCACAACA